AATCTGAAAATTCACGGGTCCATTTGAAAACAAGACTGAAATCTATATTTTAAATACTCATTTAATTTTACTTGCTATGTTCAAACAATATGAAGCCAAATACAACACATCCTCAATATCAAGGGGTTACACTTTCACTCTCTTGATCTGCACCCCTGGAATATGTCTTAGCAAAACTTAAGGCACATGGCTAGCAATTTGATTGGTGTCGGGTAAAAACACTGACCAATTACTCGGCTGATACTTGTCCTTTGAAGATAACAAAAGAGCGACACCTGACTTCAAAGCCAATAAGTTTTACCGTTATGCGACGGTGAGATTCTTCTGATGTACATCAAAGTATCAATTTAGTGTTCACCCACAAGGCGATGCACACTGAGCCTTCAAATTTGCTATGCCATATTCCAGGGGTGCAGATCTAGAGAGCGAAAGTGAGCGTAACCCCTAGAGTGTCGAGGAAAAAAACAACAAGAAGAGTAAAACTATCCTGGCAGTTGAATACCCTTTTGTGGTCTATTTGATGTTCTATGCATGCTTATCAAATTGGATGTACAGTGTACATATTGATAAATATTTTAGTTCTGAAGACAGAAACTCTGTATACCGGTATATGTATATAATTAATCAGTGCCTAAAGATTGAGGTGCTGTTGGAACCTTATATGGTGGGTTTTGTTTATTGTTACCTTCCTTTTTTCAGATGTTATGATTTAATTGAAATTAAGTGTTTTACACATTTTTTATTATCTTTGTCTGTCACATTGTGTGTGGGCATATGCAATAGTGCATCGTTTCTTAAGAATCAACATTTATTTCCTATAAAAATTGTGTTAACCAAGATGGCTTGCTGGGTAATGACTTTCCAGTGGCCTGCTGACATGAGAGGCTGTCAAACTGGTTCAGAGGAATGACCTTGAACCACTTTCAAGGTTACAGGGATCAAATGTTTTAAAACTTTAAAAACAAGTTCTTTGGTCATGAATATATATAATCAAAAAGGTTAAGGGTCATGACATTTGGCCTTTGGCATTCTGGAACTTGACCCAGTTTAAAGGCTGCCTGCTTGTAAGTTCAAATTTTGCAAGGTAGAATCATTAGGGGTTTAGTAATGATATTTAACTTGTAAATTAATAGCAATTTGTTTTAATAAATTTGACCTTGACCTGCTTTGAAGGTCACATATGTGAAATGTGCTTACCAGCACTGAATAACAGATGAGTGATACAGTTCTATCAGGTCTCTTGTTATTATGTTAAAAAACTTATATATCAGCAAAGTGTTTTTTTATATTGTTTTATTTCATTTGAATACTTTTCAAGTATTTATGATTAATTTAAGCTAAATATATTTTTTAAATAATTAGGAAAAAAAGACATTGTGTTTTGTTTCCCTATTGGTCCTTACTTTTTAGATTAAACATATTACACATGTTTCATTAAGCCTATTTTGAATAAGTTTTATTTTGTGTTATTAAGACAAGAAAAAGTGAGCCTCTTGTATGTCTCCTAACTGAAACAAACCACTATTTTGAGTCTGTGTTTCGATTATTCTGTGGCATGGTGACATGTGTATCCATCATCTGTCAACATTTCATTTAAAAAGACGACCTGGATCATCAGGGTTTTTGCCAGGTGTTTACAGGGTCTGATTCCCAATTGAAAAATGACACTGTATTTTCCCAATTTCAATCTTTATTTTCCAAATTGGATTAAAATTGAATTTAAGAAACATCTGGAGGAAATTTTTGCATTTTAAATTACCTTTCAGGTAATCACTTTGCAGGTTTTATTTTTTATTCCAAATTTATGATATATTCCAGGACCTGTTCATGTGGGAACACTTATGATATTTCCCAATTTTTGCCAAATGATGATATTTTCCCAATTCCTGTTTAGGGGCCCTTTCCCAATATAGCTGGCAAAACCCCCTGATCATTTCTAGGCCAAACAGACTTTTATACAAACTCCTTGAACCAGTATGTATATGAATTTATTACATACTTACTAATAAATACCGGCTTTTTGTATATGCGATACGACACAATTGCTCTAACCCATATCGGCCCTCGCCGTATCACACCCCAAAACCTGTATCAGCCCCCGCCGTATCACACCCCAAAACCCGCATCAGCCCGCAAAACCTGTATCAAACCAATTTTGGAAATTCTTCGTTTTTCAAAATTTCAAAAGAAAAATAGATCATAAGATAATAGTTTTTATTAGTCAGTATGTAATAAACAGAATAAAACACCTTTTTCCATATCACACCCAGTATCAACCCTCGACCAATATCAGCGCTCGGGCCATCAGCCCTTGGGCTGATATTGCAGTCTCAGGTTGATACTGGGTGTGATGTGGAAAAAGGCATGTATTATTCTCTATGTATCTGGATACTTGATATTTGATATCGAGGTATATACATAGCTTATACTTGTCATAGTATACTAGATATTAGATAAAAGTCCATATTTTTGATTTGAGTTATCTCTCTTTGGTGTTTGAGGTGGTGACTTCAGGAGGTTGAGTCTGTTATTCATTAGCTGTTGACATGTCAAGGCAATGTGTCATCATTGTCAGGTATGCTCAAAATTCATTACAATGTAAATTTCTTTCTCTTCAGTGATTCTTGTAGGAAATTTAATGTTTCACAAACTATACAGTTTTATTGCAATATTACATTACCCCATTCATGTAAGAGAGTCCATTCATCATAAATATAAAGAAACATTTATTACAGTAACTAAGTCTATTTCACCACAGCTACTTGAATCAATTGGCCACCACCCCTAAATAGATATATTTACGTAGTAGATAATAGAGAAACAAACTCTTCGAAAGGAAAACGTAAAATAACAAGTACACAACAGGACTTACTGCTAGGCCTTTATGGCTCCTAATGTCTTGAGTCTTTTCTGTCTTATTGAGCTATTTCAGACGGACTGAACAAGCTCAAGAAGGCAGAAAGGCCTATAGTGGTCAGTCGTGTGTACTTGTTACTTTATTTTATATATACGTACATTGTATCATTTTGTATGTATAGATATATTTTAGACTTGGTCTGGTCTATTAGCATAATACTGTAAATTGAGAAATTATTCCTTTTTTGTTAAGGTTAGAAGTTTGCCTGTCTGTTTTGGACAATAGCACAGTAACAGGTAGGACACACACTTTTTCCGTCCATTCATACTTTTGAGTATCCTCATGTTAAGTTTAGAAAAGATTCAATTTATATCTTACTGAGATTGACCATGGTTCATTTTTATACCGTATTTCATTTATTTTGAAGTTTAAATTATAGAAAAATAAAACAATTTATTTAAAGCTGTTTACAGTAGTCTTGTTTTTGTGCTGATGGACAGCAAAGCCTAACTTGACGAGAAATTACTCTTGAGCCATAAACAAACTTCTTTTGGTTTGTTCATTTTCCATATAAAAGGGTGGAAAAATCTCTGTGATGATTGCAAATGCAATGGTCTGTTAACCTTAAAATGTATCTCCTCCAGAACAGCTGAAAGTATTCCTACTAAAATTGGTCTGGGGCATTATTGGGCCAAGGGGACTGAATGCTACAGAACTGGAAGGTATGGCTCCCCTGGATTATTTTAACTATGGTCTGGGGTATCCTTGGACAAAGCGGACTCCACAATTTACAAGCACAATAGTTGCTCACCCCTCAATCCTATTTCTTGAGAAAGAGTGACCTAATTTGTGATGAACATCCTTGGGTCATGAGGAATCATCTTTGTTAGCGATGTGGAGCCTAACACGGGAAATATAGATTAATCGTTATAATCCTACCCCAAGTTCACAGGTGAAGTTTGGTCTGGAGCATCCTTGGACAAAGGAAGCACAATCTTGTATGAACAGAGAAAGTGATCATCCTGGAAGTACTTGGGCAGGGCCCAATAGGTTTAATTTGGGTAAATCTTTAAAATTCTATTCATGGAGTATGTTAAAAGTGACTTTAACCTTAATTGTCTCAAGCATAGATGAGACAATGGTAATCAACATTGATGTATAATTCAAGGATGTGGCCTCACCCAGAGGTGAAGTGAATGTTTACCATCAAAAGATTTTTCTTTTTTAAATATTTGGTTTTGGGTATACTTGGGGCCCATGGTACCAACCTTCCTTGGTAGATTCCATCAACTACAGAAACCTTCTCTGGTAGACTCCATCAACTACCTAAACCTTCCCTGGTAGACTCCATCAACTATCCAATCCTTCCCTGGTAGAATCCATCAAATACCCAAACCTTCTGTGGTAGACTCCAACAACTACCCAAACCTTCCCTAGTAGACTCCGTCAACTATCCAAACCTTCCCTGGTAGACTCAATCAACAACCCGAACCTTCCCTGATAGACTCAATCAAATACCAGCTCCTTCCTTGGTAGACTCCCTCAACTACCCAAACCTTCCCTGGTAGACTCCATCAACTACCCACTCCTTCCTTGGTAGACTCCATCAATTACCCAGGCTTTCCTTGGTAGACTCCATCAACTACCCAAACCTTCTTTGGTAGACTTCATCAACTTCTCACTCCTTCCTTGGTAGATTCCCTCAACTACCAAAACCTTCCCTTGTAGACACCATCAACTACCTAAATCTTCCCTGGTAGACTCCATCAAATACCCAAACCTTCCCTGGTAGACTCCATCAACTACCCACTCCTTCCTTGGTAGACACCATCAACTACCCAAGCCTTCCCTGGTAGACACCATTAACTACCCAAACCTTCCCTGGTAGACACCATCAACCACCCAAACCTTTCCTGGTAGACTCCATCAACTACCAAAACCTTCCCCGGTAGACTCCATCAACTACCCATACCTTCCCCGGGTAGACTGAATCAACTACCCAAACCTTCCCTTGTAGTCTTCATCAACTATCCACACTTTTTACAATAGACTATACGTACACATTTTCCTTGTAAACTCTAAATAATTAGTTGCTTGCACTATATTGACACGTTGCGAAGAAGAAAAAACCAATACATTTTTGGAAATTGAAATAAGTCAGCTCTTTTAATGTAAAACGTATACTGAATTGCACATATCTGAACATTATCGTATAGGTTCTTCATTAAATTTGTATTTAACGTTGAAATCCCACTACACCATTATGGTAAGTAGAAAATGCGAAACAGAATTGGTAGTATTCGGGACGGGCTACTGACGATTGGACCGATTTCTCCTTGCTAACGTGGGAGTGAAGGAGAAGGCGGACGGTCTGCGCATTGTTTGCATGTTTGGTTGTCCAGTAACCGTCTCAGCGTCCTTGTGGGCTGCCTGGAGATTGGGTCCCAGCGTTCTTCCCTGGATCTTCGACACCATGAGGTCGGACATTGCTGCAGGACAATGGCGTAGTTGGTATCAATGTTGGAATACACTCTGAATAGATAGCTATCGGGAATACTAAAAAGTTTATTTACCACGTTAAGACTGTTGTGTACTGGTAGCTGGATCAATTCACATACAGATTACAATCAGACTAAATTAAACCATCGCCTTAGTTTTAGACTACTAACAAAAAGCGTTTGACGAGCTTGGATTTTCAACAGTACGAAATTATACATGCATTTTAAAAGAAAAAAGGATGCTAAACTATGCATACACATTGTTTTGTGCTTTGTTTTCCTGCCGTACCTACTTGTATTCTCCATGTGGTGGTGATGTCTGCGAGCGACGCCCGTCTCCTGTGACGGTTCCGGGCTCTCGTCGGGTTCCGGTTCCTGTTCCTCTTCCTCGTCCTCCGAGTCTTCCTCTGGGGGCGGAGGGGGCTCGTCGTGTCCCCCAGCAGCCGAGTCCATGTCCAACTGGTCATCTCCGGCGTCCAATTGAGCGTCCTGAGGAGTGAAGACCTCCTCCATGGCCGGCTGTATCTTCTCCGGCCCGTTATACAGGTGTGATAGATCGGTGAGCTTGACACACCTTGTAAAATTACACAACGTATAATTATGATACATGCAAACTCAGCACTGTACAGATATTAGAACACCATGGCTAGGAGGAAAAGCTTCATATCTATCTAAATGTTTAACGAATCTAAATATAATGTTCGAGCTTGTGCATCAGTCGACTTATTGATTTGGACTCATACTTTGGCATACATATACACAATATACATCTCGCTCAAATACACGTGTAACGATCTTACTTTAAACATAACTTCATCCAATACACTGACATGATCATAACGTATTAATGTAAACTTACGAGATGAAACAGAATTAAAGCTACAAACTTGTGAAGTGAAATGCCCCCTCCGAAATGTTCCACTTCCTCTGCTTGCTCCCCGCTATCTTCAGCGCTTCCTGGAATCTTCTGGTTGGTTGAATCCCTATTAGGCAGATCTATGTGTTTGCCCGATGACTTCAGAGGAATAATTGTCTCCCCCTGATCCTGGGACTGAAGGTCACATATTTCCTCCGTCAGGGCGGCGTTCTGTTCCCACATCTGTTCCCTTTGTCTCAACAGCTGGTCGATTTCCTCTTCAATGTCCGAACTAAACACTTCAGTATCTAGAGTCTAGAAATAAAGGCAACGATGACGGTCATACCTAAACCTTTTATTCAATCGTATAAAGCCAAAGTCTGGATTAACGGATGTAGAAACATTTTAAAATACAAGTACTGTAGTAAACCGAATTAAGATTTCAGATTTCAAAGAGAATGTCGTTTGAATTTTAACCGTAATAAGAGTGATTTACAGCTGTTCAAATTCGATTCGTTAGTTTGTTCGGGATTTTTTGGGATTTGTTCGTTCAAGGCTTCGATGGGGCAACACAAAGGCCTTCTCGATGGAATATAAACTGGACACCATACTCCTACCAATTAAACTATTCTGACAACGGGTAGACCCGGGGTACCTAGGAGGACGCCGCTAAAGAGAAAGAATACGTAAGCGAGAAATGACTAGCGGACTCATATGGTAGCTGTATTTGTCATTTCTCTACTTCCTATTTAGCGCCCTGTTTAGTGGTATATTCATCCATCCGTTCCTTTACCTTCTGGAGAGGCGATGGAACAAAGGAACGCTGAATACCGCTTCTTCGGAAGGAAGGAACGATAATTAACGTCAATTCCTTCGCCGCCTTTAACACGAACTAACGAAAGAGTACAAATCAGACACCATAGGCAACAGATCTTGATTTCTCGCATAATCCTCATTCAGAAATACAGAAGAAAACATTCGATTGTAACTCACTTGCAATGGCTGAAATATTAATACCAACCTGTTCAGACTCATTGCGGAGTGCGGATTCTATTCCTATGCCTTTTATGGTATTTCGGAGACTGTCTTTTTCTGTGTCTCCTAAACCTACAACAAAATAATTTTAACAAGCATGGAAAGAATAATTAATGAAACAATGACATGGAAGGAATCTGGACCAAAAATGACTCGAAACCTGTTCGTATAGGCTGGACCGAAATATGACGCCCGATTATATTACTAGTTCACCGTGGTTTATATGATTTCTGAATACTATTATCATTCTGATTTTAAATAAAAATATCACTTCTTAATTGTTACTTCTGATTATTTGTATCGTTGATGGCAGGTAAAATAAACATCACATAACACAAAGGTGTTATACGAGTACGTATGTACGGCCGAGAAGTTAAGAAAACACAGAGTCTCTACTGGAGAGAAATGGTGTGAACTTCCCGTAACACTGTCCAGCCGTTTGTAAGGATGTACCTTGTCGACCGTATTTCAGGATGCTGTTGAACCGGGACACTATCTGGTTGTTGACGTCATTGATATCATCAAGGTAGGACTTTGTCTCCATCCGACCCTTTCGTAGCTCATCCTTATACATCTCCTGAATTATAAAACATACACATCAATGTTGTCTGTTAATGTTCTCTGCAATATATTGAGATAATTTTATAACGAATGAGAGAACGATCGGATACCTTTTCCCTTTAACGTAAATCAAAAGAATGTTTCTAAAGTAATTTAATTCCTCATACTTAAAGAGAATAATCTTTAAAATTCATAAATACAGTATAAACTATCCAAAATGTCTAGAACCGCGCCCGTGACCGACATTTGACTAATACTATAAGACTAGTTCGTGCCCCGGGATGTAGGATAGGAATATTGCACACCCGAGGGGTTTACACATTTCTGCCGATTGAGCTATATAGCTGTAAAGACCTATAATAGCTCTATTGACCTATCTGAAATAGGTCTTTTGAACTATTTTCAAGTGATTTTCTTTTTTTAAAGATTACGAAATAAAGTCGCTTTTAAAAGAAGATTGTATCATTAGGTTGATAACAAAAGACATTAAATATAAGTATTCTTTTTAAAAAATAATGATGTAAAAAAATCGGAAATTTTACATTTATGAAAAATGGAAATAAACATCTAACTGTATGCTCTTTGTAGTCAACATAACCATAAACCTTATTGTTTTATGCGACTTTGCTTTATTTTAATGAAATTTGAAATCTGAGAAAATATAGCTCAATACAGCTATAATTTATAGGTGTATATAGCTATATAGGTCTTTATATCTATATAGCTAAATCGGCAGAGTGTACTGGACCTGCATAATATAAACTTGGTCATTTTTGGATAGAATGCTTGCATGTACCTGCGCTTACACTTTTTGGTATCTGTATGTGTGTGTGTGTGTTTGAGAGTGCTCGCATACCAGTGCATGTACTTCATTATTAAAAATATTTTCAAATATCTGAAAGTAAAACTCCAATCTGCCATGTTAGATAATAATATTTTTTCATTAAAAATCAGCCATTAATAAATAAGATATGGCAGTGTAGATATATATGCACACACCTGAAATATGACAAATAGGAAAGAAATGTGGTGTATGGAATGAAGGCTGTGTACAAAAAATAAAAAATGAACCTAATAATACTCAGGTCGTTTGGTTTGTGATTATGCTGATACTCAGATTTGAGAATATAATGTATTATTATAGTCATTGCATTTTCAACCATATTCTTATTTATTTTGAGATATCTACAATGGAGAAGTGGAATCATATTTGTTCATTTGTATACATGGCTGCTCATGTGCACACGTACATGTGTTCACATACCTATATACATGTAGTGTACATGTGCTACATGTACACCTGTATTTGTTTACGGACATGTTTACATGAGTGAACTATATACCTATGTATAGTGTTAGAAGAATAATGGTTGATTACTAACAACACATGTATATATGTATATAAATGCTTGTTTGTATGTGTGTATCTGTATGCATGTGTACATGTACAAATGTTATATGTACACCTGTATTACCGGTAGTTCGGTATATGGGATGGCTGGACTTGTGTCAATAGGTCAAATGTAAAAAGAGCAAGAGTACATGGCTAATAGGTAATTATACACATGTGAACAAGAGCAGTATATGTATTTGTTAATAAAAAAATATATCCTGGTATAATTCTGTTTCTGTAGGTGTGTGTTCGTACGCATGTGTACATGTGAGGTACACATACTATGTACACCTGTAATGTATCTGCGGATGTAGGTGTATGTACACATGTGTATATATATGTAGCCTGATCTTTGTAATTACTTGTAGATATAAACTGAAAAAGCGTACGTGTCAATTAACTTTTACCAGATAACTGTCTAAAAGGTATTACACACATGTACAATATTGTCATGTATATGTAACAATGTATTTTATTATTCTTATAATAAAAATTAATTGAGCTTAGTGTAATATATACAATTGTTGTCAGAGCACCACACATGTTCTATCCCATGAGTAGGAATATGTGTGTTGCCAATATGCTATTTTTTCTCGCATCAAATTCATTTTATGTGTTTTTT